AGAGGTAGCCCTGTGGGATTGGGAGGGGCTGATCCTGGGGCTGCTGGTCCCTTCTGCTGGGCCGCCCACTCCTGGGGTCCCCGAGGGTCCTGCTGTGGGAGTGATGGGGAGTGCTGGGAGGGATGAGCCTGGCGTTTTGCTTCCAGCTAGGTGGGAGAGGCTTCTCCAGAGGTTTTCCTTGGGGTGACCCAGCAGTTAGCAGCTGATGGGAGCCTGCCCTGGGGTGTCCCGTCCCAGTGGCACTTGCTCAGGTGGCAGCACACCCGGATGCTTTCATCCCTGTCCACCTGCTCCCCGTGTGACTTTTTCCCCAGCTAAAAGCAGGAGGAAGCAGAGCAGCAGGTCAGGTCTGTGAGCAGAGCTGGAGGAAGAACTGCCAGTCAGAGGGAATGGCCTTGATTTCTTTAATTCTAAAAGCAGCATTGGGGGGCGGAATTTTCATGTACAGACTTTGACCCGTGGGACTTGCAGAACCACCAGGAGCTGCTCATCTCTGCGGGTGGTGGCAGAGCAGGTTCCTTGCACCCTGCTGGTGCTGGGCCAGTGCTGGGGGGACCTGACAGGCCTTGGGGGGGGTCTCTCTGCAGCCGGGATGTGCGACCGCAACGGGGGGCGGCGGCTGCGGCAGTGGCTGATCGAGCAGATTGACAGTGAGCTCTACCCCGGGCTCATCTGGGAGAACGAGGAGAAAACCATGTTCCGCATCCCGTGGAAACACGCCGGGAAGCAGGACTACAACCAGGAGGTGGATGCTTCCATCTTCAAGGTAGGGGCTGCAGGTTAAAGCTGTTTCTCCGCGGGTTTCTGGCCTTGGCGATGCTGTTTGTGTCCTCGTGGGAGGTCCCACCAGTGGGTGATGTCCATGTTCTCTGTGGGTTCTACATCTCTGACCTTTGCAGGAGGTGCTTCACCCCACAGCTGGTCTCCCAGGCTCTTCTGGGGTATTTATTCCTCTTTTCCAAGTGCTGGTGCCAGGTTTTGGTTTGTTTTCAGCATGGTTGAACCTTGTTCTCACCTGAGAAGGAGCTTGACCTGCTCTAAACTTCTCATCAGACTATTCTTGATAAACATCTGGAATTACAAAAACCTGCAGGAGGGAAGGAAGCTTGGGATTTCATGGAAGGGCAAGGGGGGGGTTTCCAGTTTTGGGGAAAAACTGAAAAATTCCATCCTGGACTAAAAAGGTCAGGCTTTCCCCCAGGAATTCCCTTCCCTCTGCCCACGCTTCCAAATATCTGTGCTGGGGAAGGAGTTGCCTTTCAGGGCAGTGATGGCTGGTTTGGGAGCACTGAGCTATGAGGATGGCATTGAATTCAGCCACCTGAAAAATGTATCAATGCCTAAAAAAGAAAGAAATATGTCTATTAAGAACATAATACATATTTTACAATTTCCCATCAGTGGCCAAACATCTTGTCCCACCAAGAGAACCATGTTCTGGTTTTGAAAAGAAACCAGATTTCATTTCTTAGCCAGGAGCTGGGAAAGGAGGTTTATTTGGGTATTGAATTGAGGTGTTACTGGGGTCTTTTGTGGCTTTTGTTTTAGGCCTGGGCTGTTTTTAAAGGCAAGTTCAAAGAAGGTGACAAAGCAGAACCGGCCACCTGGAAGACACGGCTGCGCTGCGCCCTGAACAAGAGCCCTGACTTTGAGGAGGTGACAGACAGGTCCCAGCTGGACATCTCTGAGCCCTACAAGGTCTACAGGATTGTGCCAGAGGAGGAACAGAAATGTGAGTGGCCTGATAAGGGACTGAACCCCCGGTGCAGGTTGATCCTTTGAGTGGCCACAGAGTCGTGGTGCTGACCTACATCTGAGCAGAACTTCCTGGCCTGTGCCCTGATGCTTTTTTTAATTCTGCTTTGCAGAAGATGTCCCCATGTCACCACTGTGGGGAGGAGGGAGGGCAGACTTGTTTCTAACCCGCCCTAAACAGCTGCTTAGGAAGTTGGAGATAAATGTAGCCTTGCATGACTTCCCATCCCATCAGGATGTTGTAGGGGCTGATCCAAAAGTCTTTTTACCCTTTGGGATGGTCCTTGAGCCCTTGTTCTCCCAGTTCCTGCCCAGCACAGGTGACAGGGGGCTGCAATAAATCCCCCCCTCTCTTGCCAGCAGTGATTGCAGCAGCAGCAATTTCACAGAACAGTTGCTAGTGCCAGTTCTGGTGCAGTGCATGGTCACACCAAGTGTCTCTCTTTGTGGTTAGGTGGCTTTTCCTTTTTGTTTAATTAAAAAAAAGATCTCACTGTCAGGAAATCTACCTTTAGCATCTCTGTGCCCTCCAGCCACGTTCACAGGGGGGGGCTGTGCTGTCACTATGCAAATGGCAGGGCAGGTTCCCACCAGCACCACGGCTGGGGGGAAAAAAGGAGAAGCAGCAGCTCCAGTCTCTGGGGGGGCTCAGAAAAACCCCAGCCCTCTGCTGTAGGTCTGTTACTGACCAGAATTAATCTGCTGGTCACTGTGTGTTGGGACAATGGGTTGTCAACTGATTTTTTTGGTCTGGCAGAGCAGCCCTGGAGGGGCTGCAAGTTCCCCCTGCCCCCCTCGAGGTGCTGGTCTGTGCTGTGGTTCTCAGCTTCAGAACTTTTACAGGGGTGAAAGGTTTCTAGAACCCTGTGGGCAGATGAGCTGTGGTGTTGGGGTGGCCGTGCTCATCCTGGCCTCTCCTTCCAGGCAAAGCAGGGATTGGCAATGGGAGCAGCCTGAATGACATCACGGAGATGGACTGCAGCTCCTCTGCCATTGATGACCTGATTAAAGAGGTGAGCCCTCACCCTGGCTGCAGGTCACCTTGGTCAGAGGTGGAGGGATGGCAGGCAGTGGCCTGATAGAGCATTGCTTTCCTAAAATTCAATCTGCAAAGCTCTGGGAATCAACCTGGCAAGTGATCCTGGGTTTTGCACCTTGTTTGTGTGACCTGTGGGCAGTGGAGGCTGTTTCTCAGCTTTGTCCCCTTTCTCAGCTCTGTCACCTCAAGCTGCTTCTGCTCAGTAGCTCTGGAGGATGTTAGTTGGGCACACAGCCTGGGGAATGCCAAACTTGGTCTTTCTAGCCCAAAAAGCTCTCTAGCATCCTGGTGGTGTTGCCATTTGGACCCTCTCTGAGCACTGTGACTGCCCATTGATGACCTGATTAAAGAGGTGAGCCCTCACCCTGGCTGCAGGTCACCTTGGTCAGAGGTGGAGGGATGGCAGGCAGTGGCCTGATAGAGCATTGCTTTCCTAAAATTCAATCTGCAAAGCTCTGGGAATCAACCTGGCAAGTGATCCTGGGTTTTGCACCTTGTTTGTGTGACCTGTGGGCAGTGGAGGCTGTTTCTCAGCTTTGTGCCCTTTCTCAGCTCTGTCACCTCAAGCTGCTTCTGCTCAGTAGCTCTGGAGGATGTTAGTTGGGCACACAGCCTGGGGAATGCCAAACTTGGTCTTTCTAGCCCAAAAAGCTCTCTAGCATCCTGGTGGTGTTGCCATTTGGACCCTCTCTGAGCACTGTGACTGCCTCTGGGGCAGTGGCTGCCCAAGGCAATGACTCTGCTCTGATGTCTGTGTCTGCTCTCACAGCCCCCCTGTGTTGATGAGTACCTGGGGATCATCAAGAGAAGCCCCTCACCCCCCCAGGACACTTGCAGGAACCCCCCAATACCCGACTGGTGGGTGCAGCAGCCCAGCCCTGGTAAGGACCTGGCAGCATCTCTGGTGTTTCACAGGACTGAGCTTCTCCTCCAGGGCAGGAAAAAAACCCCTGCAGTGAGCAAGGGTCGTGTTTTATCTTCCTTATTAAGGATGTTTAAAGTACTAATAATGAACACTGATTGGCAGCAGGAGCCCAAGCGTGTGTTGGAGGGGATTAAATCCACTTGGGGGGGTGTTTTCTGGCATCTCCTACATGCTGTGGCTGGGAGAGGAATGTGGGGTGTGGGACTGGGGTCTGGGGGCTGGACATGCAGCACAACTCAGCTTCCTCTCTGCCCACAGCCCTGCCCCTGATGAATGGCTACCCTGGCTACGAGCAGCATCATTCAGGTATGGACTGTGGCCATCAAAAGCCCCTCTGGGGTTTGGCCTCACGTGTGTTCTGGCAGGAGGTGGTTCTGGCTCTGCTCCCTGCCCTGGGGGAGGGTTGCTTTAGGTTTGGGAGGTTCCCCTGCCCTCCTGGGTACCCGTGGGGTTTGCATGCTGTGCAGGGATGCATCCTGGCCCGTTGGCCTGTGGCCACGTCCCTATCCCAGGGTACTGGGATCAGCCTTTATTGTGGGGAGATCTGTCCACAGCCAGGGTGTGTGGAGGAAGAGGTTGAGTGTTGGGATTGGTGCTGCTACCAGGCTGAGTGCTGAGATGTCCTCAAGCCAAGTGGGAGGAAGACTTCTCCATCAAGTGAGACTTGCTCCCAGTTGCTGCTCCTGTGGATCTGGGCATGGCAGTGAAGAGCTGGGGGGCAGGATTTGTCTTCTCCTGATGGGTTGGTACATGTTCCCCATCCCCTCCCAGGTTACTCCCAGATGGTGATCACCTTCTACTACGGGGGGAGGCTGGTGGGCCACGTCACCACCTCGTGCCCTGAGGGCTGCAGGATCTCACTCAGCCAACCCTCCAGCCATGGGGAGAAGCTCTATGCTCCAGATGCCCTGGAGCACGTGGGGTTCCCCTCAGCTGATGCCATCCAGAATGACCGCCAGAAGCAGATCACCAGGAAGCTCTTTGGGCACCTGGAGAGGGGTGTTCTGCTCCACAGCAACAAGCAGGGCATCTTCATCAAGAGGCTGTGCCAGGGCAGGGTCTTCTGGAGTGGGAACACCATGGTCTACAAGGACAGGCCCAACAAACTGGACCGGGATGAGGTGGTGAAGATATTTGACACCAACTTGTTCTTCAGAGGTTTGTGGGAGTGTTCCTCTCTTCCTTCATCTGCTCGAGGGGGGTGGAAGGGGTGATGCTCTTGGCCTTGGAGCACTTTGGATCCATCACTGATGGGTTACACGGGTGCTCTGGGTGATGCTGACAGATCTAGGCAGGAGTCACCTCGGTGTGTTGTGTCACTTGGCAAACTCCTGCTGCTCAGAGGTTTTGCACAAGAGACCTGGCTTCTCTTGGGCTTTCTTCCATGGCAGAGGGCTTGGTCCCAGAGCTGTGTAGCACAGGCTGGCAGCTTCCAGCTGTTCCCCTCTCCTTGCAGAGCTGCAGCAGTTCTACAACAACCAGGGCCGCTTCCCAGAGAGCAGGGTCATGCTGTGCTTTGGAGAGGAGTTCCCAGATGCTCTTCCCCTGCGGAGCAAACTCATCCTTGTCCAGGTATGGAGATCTGCTGCTGAATTTCCCACCCCTTGTCTGGACCATACGGTCCTTTTCCTCCCCAAGAGCAGGGCCTGAGCTTACAGGTTCTTGGGGTGCCTGAACTAGTGGGGTGGCAGATGTGACATGGGGCTTATCCTCAGCCTCCTGAGAGGTTTGCAAACCAAACTACCAAGTGGCAAAAGCTTTTATAAGCTGTTCTTTCTCCTGTTCTTGCCTCTCAGCACTGGGACCTCTGCCCCTCCTGTGGGAAAGAGGAATAAATCCCTGGAATGGCTGTGTTAAGGGGTGCCTTCAAGCCAGGCAGCCAGCAGATGTGGTGGCCAAGCAGCAGGGCTGGGAAGTCCTTGGGAGGGTCGAAGGAGATAAGAGGGGAAATCCCCTTCAGCTTCTTCCCTGGAGAAGCTGAAGCAAGACTGGGAGCCCAAAGCTTTGGAGCAATGCATGGGGAGTTTCTGGAGCCTGCACCCAAGTGTGGGACCCCCCTGGGCCAGCAAGGCTGCAGCAGAGGGACATGGCATGGAGGGCACAGAGAAGGTGTTGCAGAGACCCACCAAGTCTGTGAGGTCCTGGAAGGGAATTCACAACTGCAGAGGCTGGTCTTGCACCTTTCTGTGCAGTTTTCTGACCTGTTAACCTCTTCTTGCCTTGGGTGCCTTCACCTGAAGGTCACTCTGCATGTGGCGGGATGTGCCCGAGCCTGCCCTGACCTCCCTGTAGCTCTGCTGGGAGAGGAGCCCTTGTGACTGCCCCTTTTCTCCTAGAGGTGCTTGTGCCAAAGGTGGCTCTTGGAGTTGGCCTGGCTGGACCTGGCTGACCAAGCTTGGCACAATTGCTCTGCTGTGCCTCCCACCCTGGTGCCTGGGCTGGTAGGGGTGGATGGCACCAGTGGGAGATGCCCAAAGAGGTTCCTCTTCATTCACTGTCTTCATGACTTTTCTTTTTTGGTGTAGGTGGAGCAGCTGTGTGTCAGGCAGGTGGTGGATGAGGCTGGGAAGACCTGCAGCAGCAGCAGCCCCATGCTCCCCATAGCTGATGAGACACAGCATGACCAGGTGTACAGGATCTTCCAGGACATCTGCACGACACACCAGCGACCCCTCTTCAGAGAACACCAACAGATTGCTGTCTGAGCCTCCTCCATAGACAGCAGGGTGGTTTGGGTTGATCTCAACCCAGTTTGGCCCTATTAGTGCCTAAATTCCCCTTTTGGAACGTTGGCTTTTTTGTTCTTTGCTGTTTCCAGTCCAGAATCTGTACAAATACAGCAGGAGAAATTGCCAGGAGCAAGGTCAGATGTTGGTGTCTGTCCTGCAGACACTTTGCTGTTTAAATATGACTTTTGTACCCAGTCCTGATTCCCTTGTCTACAGCTGGTGCCAGGGGAGCAGGGAATGGTCTGGCTGTGCAGGCAGGTCTGGGCTGGCACTGCTTTGTGTTGCCTTTGGTGATGGCCAGTCAAGCAGAACCAGAAATCAACACCTGAGGACCTGCCTTGCAGCTCAGACCTTGCCAAGAACACCCATTTGATAGGAGCTGAATCTTGAAAAAGCCTGAAAATGCTCAAATGTAGGAAATTCTTCCCAGAAATCAGGTTTTCTTCCCCCAAAGAGTCCTGCTGGTGGAGGACAGGGAATGCCTTCCAAGGAGAACCTTCTCAAATCCCTCTCTTTTTGCTGTGAGGTTAAGGCTGGATATCTGTCTACCAAAGTATTTTGAAACTTGGAGATGAATGCAGATATTACATGTGTAAATCCTGACTATAAGAACTTAGGAATCTTCATTTTTTTTCCAACTAGAGACAGTTGTAGAGAAAATATCTCAAATTTTAAAAGATAGTGTGACTAGGTTGGCTTCACCCTCCCCAAGGCTTGGGTTGGTCTCTCCCAGGTGTGACCAGGCAGCAGCATCTGTGTGGAAATCTTCATTAACCCCACTCCCTGTGTGTCCCCAGCCCCAGGGAGCTGCCTGGGCAGGGGGCTTGTGCCTTGCAGCTGCCACAAACCAGGAACCCCCCCCTGACATGTCCCTGCTCCTATGCTGCCTATTTATTTTATTCCTCAGGTTTAGTCATTGTTTTGTGGAATATTTTTTACCTTCCTGCAATTAAAATGCTATATTTTGTAGTCCTCTTGCAGTGTGGTTGGTTTGGTTGCAATGAATCAGGTCTTGATGGTGTTTTGGGCTTGTTTCCTGTCTTGGTCTTCCTTGGGGTGGGGGGATCTCCATGAAGGCTCTGCTGTCACCTCCCTCCTGGTCTGTATCTGCTCAGCTTCATCCCTGGGGCAGGGGAGGAATGAGCCAGGATGCTGTAATGCAATGGAGGAAGGAAAGGACTAGGGAGAAGGGGTTGTCCCCTTTGGCACTGGTGAGGCCACATCTTGAATCCTGGCTTCAGTTTTGGGCCCCTCATGATATGAAGGACACTGAGGGGCTGGAGTGTGTCCAGAGAAGGGCAAGGGAGCTGGGGAAGGGGCTGGAGCACAAGTGTGAGGAGGAGCAGCTGAGGGAGCTGGGGGTGTCCAGCCTGGAGCAAAGGAGGTGAGGGGAGACCTGCTGGCTCTGCAGCTGCTGAGAGGAGGTTGGAGCCAGGGGGGTCAGGCTCTGCTCCCCAGGAACAAGCAATGGGGCAAAGGGAAATGGCCTCAGCTTGTGCCAGGGGAGGTTTAGTTTGGATGTTAAGAACAATTCCTTCCCTGAAAGGGCTGTCAGGCTGTGGCACAGGCTGCCCAGGGCATTGGTGGAGTCCCCATCCCTGGAGGGATGTAAAACCTGTGTAGATGTGGTGCTGAGGGACACGGGTTCAAGGGGAACTTGGCAGTGCTGGGTTAAGGGTTGGACTGGATGATTTTGAAGGTCTTTTTCAGCTGAAATGATTCTATCACTTCTAGGGTCTTTGGTCCAGGGAGCATGAAGATGGGTCTGCCCACCTGCCCCAGCACTGCTGGGGCTGTGACCTCCAAGGTGTGGGGAGGTGGGGGGTGCAGTTATTTATGGTCCTGCTCAAAATCTTGCTCTTGCCTTTCCTCCATTACTCCCTGGTGGAGCCTTTCCCCAATGTCTTCCACACCCATCTTTCCTGAGGGCCCCTGTCTAGTAGAGATGAGAGAGTTTGGAGAGAACCAAGACCCAAAAGGGAGTGTCTGCCTTGCTTGGACTAGGTCAGTGCTGCAGGAGGGTGGGCTGAGAATCTGCATTCTCACCTGCCTTCCCGTGAAGCCTGTGCCTGGGGCAACACCCCAGGCAGCTCTGGAAGGGTCTGAGGACTGTGTTTTGTCTGTCTCCTGTGAAGGACAAAGGTGAACTCCAGGTCCTTGCCCACTGCAGGATGGACACAAAGCTGTCCTCCCTGCTTGGCTGTCAAAGCCCATCAGCCCCTTTTTTTTTTTGGCTGCTCTTCCTTTTCCTGTTAATGATAGAGACCTTCCCAAGCCTGGCTGTGTGGTCAGGGCATGGTGAGGACATGAGGACCCTGACCTGGGGTGGGCTGGCTGCAGCTCACCTCTGTGCCAGGAGGATGTTCTGGGTCACTAACTATTTTGGGATGAACAACTCGGCCTTCCCAGTGAACCCCCACTAAAATAGTGAAGTGTTCAGCTCTTGTGGGACTTGAAGCTTGACCCCAGGGTCAGAAGCTACAGCCTCTGTCCCACAGAGATTGTAGCACCCCAAAAAGTGCTTTGAGATGAGAGACCCAGCTGCAACTGATTATTTGTTAGGATCAAGGGAAGTCCTCCAGCCCAAGCTCCTGATGCTCTGAGTTGTATCAAAGTTGTTCTCTGTGTCCCAAGTGTGTTGGTGGGACACTTGTAGTCCTGCCTGAAACCTTCTGCCTGTCCCTTGCAGGCACTGTGGTGTGTGGCTTTGGTGACTGGGAGCAGAGATAGCTGCAGACTGAGATCTGAGGCTGCACCAGGATCCCAAGTGCAATGGAGACCCCACCTCTGTGAGCTCCTACACGAGGCTTGTTCCTGGAGGTGGGGGTTGCACCTTGGATGTGCATTCATCCCCTGCCTCTCCCTGCTCCTCAAGACCATCACAGTGTCCACCTCGGTGTTTAATCCTCTTCCAGCCCTTGGTGCTCCCTTGGAGTGTGAGGAGGACTCACCTCCCCAGGGTGAGGTGCCTGGGCTGGGCTGGAGGTGGGAACGCGGCACCCGCTGCGGTCGGCGCTGGAACAACACGTGCCCACGTGTGAAACTCATGATGGGCTGCAGCCTGGGACACCAGAAACACCACTTGTGGTTTCCCCAGATGTCCTGAGGCAAGTCCTTCCTCAGAAACCACCATCTTGTGCTTGCCTGGAGCCACCTGCTACGTATTCAGGGCTCTTTCAATTTCCACCCCAAGACCACAGAGGAGCGGTGGGGAGCAGAGGTGCCTTTGTCTGACCTGGCTGTTCTGGTTGTTTCTGGTGTTACCATCGTGCCTCAGGGTCCTGAGCTCACTTGGGGACTGTGCTGTGACTTGCTCCTCTCCTGGATGGCTCCCAAGCCTTGGCCAAGAGGAGGTAACTGGTGGGTGTGGATGGACTGGGGAGGAAACGGTGGGACAGGGTCTCACAGGCAGAGGTGGGATGCAGGAAGGATGAGACAGTGGGATGTGTGACTCTGTCCCCTTTTTGCTCAGGTAGGACCCTCAGTTGAGTTTGTGCCTAAAGTCTGGCCCAAGCTGGACTTCCCCAGCTCTGTCCCACCCCCAAAATCAGTGCAAGAGAAGCCTTCAAGGCTGATGTTTTTGCTCATGGACAAAGGACCAGATGCTCTGTCAGGTTTCAAGGTAACTGTGGCAGGTGGCACCAAGGGATGCCCTGACCAAGACTCATGGTGGTCTTTATAAAAGCCAGGAGGAATTTTTGCCCATCTCATGCTCTTCCCACAACCTCTTGGCCAGGCAGGCTGGGCACTGCTGTCCCCACTGCCCTAGCTGGGGAGCTGGTAGTGTCCGGGAGTATCCCAACATGAAGGTAGTGCCTGCATCCCAAGAATCCACCCCTGCACCTCACCTGGGCCCTGGCGACCCCAGGGAGCTGGTGGGTGCAGCTGTGCTGAATCTTAGTGGTTCTGGGTGACTGAGGACTCAAATACTTTCGTTGGTTTCTGTTCACTTGGGTTCTTCTCCGTGGCCTCACTGAAGTGAAACCTCCATGCCTGGTGTCAGCTCTTCTTTATCAGTAGCTCATCTCTTGGCAAGGCCAAGCAGTGGCCCATGTCTTCAGCTGAGGGTCCACAGATTCTGGGAATGAAGGACCCACTGCATGGAGCATCCGTGGCACTGGCTGCATCCACACCCACTGGATGCTCCTCTCCTCAGGATCGTGGGTAGCATGAATGAGAAGCTCAAAGACTGTCCTCCCTCGAATATTGCTTGTCCATATGTGGCTTCCCACACCCAGAGCATGTGTTGGAGCTGGAGCAGTAATGCCATCCAACTCCTACCTAATGGGGAAGTATTTCCTTGCTTCCCAGGAGGGCCAGCTCAGGTACAAGGTCCAGCAGCTCCCCTGGAGAGGGCTGCAATCCCTGCAGACATGGGAAGGTGTTTCCTAGGAGGTGCCCATGCTAAACCTCTGTCTTCAGGAGCAGAAGGGCAGAGTGAAGGTTTCACATGGGATGGAGAGAGGAGCTGGAGCTTTCTCAACCTGGAGAAATGGGAGCAGCTCTGCAGCCACCTCCATCCAGCTATGGAGGCCAAGTTCTCTGCACCAAGAGATGACCACAGTGGAATCGCAGGTCCCAACTCACAGTTGAACTGCTCAGGAATTCAACCCAAACCAGCTACAGCTGCTTCCTCCAACCTGCTGCCACTGGCTGTGGGCCCCCACCAGCCCCTACAGGCGTTAGAAAACAAACAGTCACTTTTTATTTCTAGACACCAGGGTTTCCAACTTGGTTTGATTGCTCAATGCCCCATTTCAGCACAGCAGCCTGTCCATGATGAACATCTCGGGGCTCTTCCTGCCAAACGTGTTGTAATATGGGAAGCAACCTCCTTTGCACGGTCACCAGTGGCAGGGGTTCTCCTCCCTGCCCTCAGGAAGGCAGGAGAGCTGCATGGGGGGCTTGTACCTTCCTCTCTGAGGGGTTGGTGCCCCCTTGGCTGCTCCTCATGGAGGACACTGAGGTAAGACCTT